GAGCTGCTGTATGGCGATCGAAGTGCTTGATCCAATCGAGGCCTATTCCGTTCGTCGTCCAGCCATGATCGGATGTCGCAATAACCCAATCTGGCGGCAGATCGCACTCCGTGTACCAATTGGCGAGGTGGTGTTGAGCCGCGAGGACGATGAACGGAGGGATGGGCCAGCCTTGAGAGCCAATGCCTTGGATAACCGTTGCCCACTCCCGATTGCCAGGCTGGGCTAGCTTGGTTTTGCCACGGTCGTCCGAAGTGGTTACCACCATGCCTGCGGAGATAACGCCCATCATAAACCCAGTCTCGTCAAAGTTGAAGAAATCCTCGTCTAGTACACCGAACTTGGCTTTCACCTTTTCCACCAGCGAAAACCACTCGCGAATCACCTTTGGATCTTCGCATTTAGCCCTCTGGTAGTCGTATTTGCGAGAAAAATGCGTACGTAGCTCTGCTTAGCGCTTGACAAAGTTGGAGGCCCAGTGCTTGCCGACACATGGCGCGTCGCGTGCGCGGAGCAGTTGGTTGGCCATATCCTCCACACTGCGCAGCCTGGGAGGAAACGAACGCGTAGATAGCCCGAGCACATGGTTAGTTATAGTTTTCTCTTCCAGATCCGTCAGCTTGCGCGAGTTGGCTGGAATATCGCGTCGTGCAGGCTTGCCGACGCGTCGGTTTTGCAGTGTTGAGCGCTGCGCGTTGTAGATCTTTGCCGTGGCTCTTACGCTCAGACGTTTGGCTTTTCGGAGAGCTTCGAGGGCTAAGCTGATCCCGCTTTCGTATGGAGTGGATTCCGTTGTTCGTGGTGGAGGAACTGGTGTTGTAGGTAGCAGAGGCGCACCGCGGTGGAAAGTGCCCATCTCGCTTGTGTGGCCATCTCGCTTATGGAATACGTTATATGTCTTTTATTTGTATAGCAGCTATCCTTCGCGAAAGAAGAAGTGGTGGCTATCTACTACCTCGGTAAGGTGACTATGCAGCTATCTCTATACCTAGAATACTTGCTGTTCGTATTATTGTTCGTCGCCGTAGAGACTCTTACCCTTACTACTGCTTATCTCGTTGCTCTCTTGCCTATCTTCACCAGGAGGTCTCTTGGGTACTACTATCTGATGCACTCTCACCCTCTGCAACGCGCTTGTATGCAATTTGAGCTGATATCTGCCAAGGCTGTAAACTCAATGTCAAGGCAATAATTTGGAGAGGAACGAACCCGAGTAGGTATAGTCGGCCTCTAAGAGCCGGTTGGCTCGAAGAGCTCTGCAATATCCTTCGGTTTCGTTGCAAAAATAGTTGCATCCGTCTTGGCGCATAACGGGTGAACGCCCTCTGCCTGGCTGAAAATACCCGTTACGTGTTCACATAAACTTTTCAGCTCCGGGCGTGCGGTGAATAGGTGCTGTCCGAAATATTTAAGCAGCTCCAGATTTTGTTCAAGCAAGCTGAGACTGTCAGCAGATGTCGACATCATGTGTGAGATTTCGAAACATACTCGTTGCTTGAAATTGGCTTTTCAAGTTTTCCTATAGTTCTAGGCGCGCCAAAATCCTTTAGATTCAGAATGGGTTTCGAGTTTTTTGGAAGAAAAACATCTTGCTGGGCTGCTTGAACCGGTATAAGAAGCAGCCAGCAGGTGTCGATACCGCTCAACAGAAGCCGCAATTTTCTTGAATACAACAGATGTTTTGTGACCTGGGAATGAGCTTCCTCAGCATCGATATGTTTCTGGACTAATAATTCCTCCAGCTCCTTCCTGACCAGTCGATCTGCCGAAAAATTGGGCGGATGATCACCTGTGACGACTTTCGGTTGTAAGTTGGACATGCCGTTTTTCGTTCTCATCGTGCGCATGTCCTTTCTTCTTACAAGCTTTTCTGGTCCCATCTTGTTTGCTCTCGAAGCCACCGCAGCTTCAAAACGCTCTGAGTAGGATATCCAGTGGCATAACGTCTCATATCTCGAAAGAAATGGAACAGCAGTAGAGAGTCCATTGATCAAAATATGCAGGTGGGAAAGCTCCTTCACATCTGCCGATATAGAGGGAGAGTCATGCGGAGGTAATCGGTTTGCCCTATATCTCAAGGCATGCTTGAGCTGTCCGAGTATATTCGGGCTTGCAACCTCACACATACATTGCAAAACTCGAAGGACATGTTCAATAGGTTGGTCTGGGGCGTGTTCAAAGGCCTCAACGACTCGATCCTCATGAAATCCCTTCGCCGCGGCGCAAGCACGAATGCAAGGCTTCAACTGTTGGATCTCCCTCAAGCTGAGCCTTGATGGGGTCTTGACGGGAGAACTCATGGCCAGTTCATAGGACATCCTAAAGATTCGGACTTCGCGACTTTCATTGCGAATCGGAGTATCGGGCCTCTTTCGGGGCAGATTTGTCGACGATAGTTCATCGATTACCAGATTATTCTCGGTGTGAATAACTCTGTATCTGCCCAAAAAGAGGCATAGGCACAGATATCTCCATTCGTTCAGCCGCCTGGCTGGTTCGACCGGATGAGCAAACTCTGAGGCGTTGAATCCCCAAGAGGGATATAAAAACGAAACCGCTCGTGATATAACGGCTATCCCACAGCTAGAGCTGTCGGGATCAATGCCGGGTTCATACAGCTGTGCAGCTTATTTAGCTTTGCCACATGAGACAGTTGGAGTAACTTACCGGCTGAAGATTCGGATCCGACCAGTGGATCAGACATTGATCCCTTTTGTTGCGACAATTGTTAAGAAAGAGACCGATGTTGTCTGCTAGCAGCTTTCCCTGCTCATGAAGCCGTAAATCAACGCCGAAAATGTGAATCTTGGATTTCGTGATATCGACGGCCACTAGGACCCAGTGGTTGTTGCGAGCATTTCCCATGTCATCCAACGTACCATAGACCACATTGTATGCAATGAATAGATGAGTACAATGTTCTGAGTGTCTTAAGATTGGTACTGGTGCATCCGTCGGGACCCACTTGCGGGCCAGGCTGCCTGTCGGATAATTCTGCATGGCCTGGCTTGCAATCAGTGTCTCAGCCGTTAGAGGAAGTAAAATTCGCAGAGTTTCAGCAATATTGAGGTCATTCAGCCATTTTCCCGGGAAAAACTGCTCCAGAGTACCATCAGGAAGTCTGTGAGCCGAGTTGGCCGCCCTGATGTATGGACTCATACTCTCTAGGGAGTCTAGCAGTGAGAAAGATTTTGCCTGATTTGCGGTGGTGAAGCCGGAAGAGATTTGAGAGCTTGTAGTAGAGCCACTTGCGATCGGCGCGGTTTCAACAGTGCGGACCGGCTCAAAAGAAGTATCCAGGTCGCTATCATGCTCATCTATGGAACGATATGCCCCAGGTGCATTGATCAGCGAATCAGAGTTGACCGTGTCAGAATTGCTGCGGCATTCCGGCCAAGGCACGAGATCTGGGCTTTCCACAAGAGGTGTCCAGAGCGGATGAGAGTCGCACTGTTCGGGTCCAGCCTTATAATCGGTCGAGAGAAATGATTGGCGGTGCTCCGGCTCGGCCACATCATGACTCATATTTCCTAGGTATAGCATTGGAAATGAGTCGCATGATCCTACGCCACTGGCGCACGGCACATAGCAAAGTTGATCGCAGAAGCTGCTGTCATGCGTCGGCTGATTGCGAAGGAAAGCGCTGATGGAATGTTGGTCACCGCTTGGATCTATGTCGATCGCATTGCAGATGTTGACGTCGTGTATCGCATCGATTCCGAGATCAGCTCCTTCCAGGGCGATGGTACTTCTGTCGTGTCCGTCGTCGTGTGGATTAGCCAGGAATGCCGAAGTTTCGCCTCTGTGCAGCGGGCGGCTCCGGTTGCTGAAAAATTCCTGCAGCTTTCCTAGGCTCTGAATCACTCTCTCAGCAATCTGCTTCTGCTTCTGAATAAGTGCTTCGGTCCGTTCGAGCTCGGGCACAGCTGGCGAACTCTCTAGCTGGTTGTGCAGCAGCTTCCGGCCTTGTCAGTCGTACACATATAAGGGATTTTCAACGGCCACGCACTAATAGACGTGCATTGAATTCATCAAGTATGTTGTTGTCGATAGGCGAAAGATCCATGTTGTGCTGGCCACGTGTTTCTGATTCATTGTGGGGAAGAAAGCCGAACGACTTGGTAGGGTAGAGCGATTGGCGGCGTTTTTGGCTTTTTTTCTTCTCTGTGCTTGACCCCTGCCTTTGCTTTGCTCTAGCGAAGCCGCCCACGGTACCCACAACGATTGCTCGCCACAAGGGTCACTTCCTTCATTGTAAGCACCCTGACTTGTGTAAAAGTCATCGCCGGTATCGAATCATCCTTTCCGCTTGCTGGAATCCGTCCTAACACGAAAATTTTACTTGCGCTCCAGGAGCCGGAACGTGGGCCGCCTGGACGAGGAATGCTGCGTCCAGGCGGCCCACGCTAAGCCGTGAAGGCTATAGCTCGCCGGTTTATCCTGGCTTGCAGTGAACAGCAGCCATCTGCGACACCTTTTTGAACCCCAAATCACTGCATTTTCGCCCAACGCTCGCAGCTGACACAATAAACCCTGCGATATTGCTGCTATTGCCGCAGCCAAGGCAGCGTGACAATGAGATTATTACGCGCAGCACCCTAGGTCGACCATGCGAAGTGCATCGATGTTACTTATGCGTCAGCAGTAAGCATAGTATTTGTATACTGGAAGCATTCACACGAGAGTCTGCCAATTGGTTTGGTGTAAAATTAATGGAATTTTTAAACAGCGGCCCGTACGTTCGGCCCTTTGTGTTTCAATCTCCTGAAATGATTATCCTTTCTCGCTCCACAGTACATTATCCTTCTCTTCCTCTGATGTACAAACCGAAAAGCGGAAATTAGAATCAAGTAACGAATAGGACTGGCACAGTCTTGATACAGAACCCAAGCTCGCATATGCTGGAGGGCATGGAAAAGAAAAGGAAATAGAAGCCACTTTGGTGGGAAAGGTAAGCGTAGAAATAATCCACCCCTTAGAGAAACAACCGTAACGAAATCTCAGTTTCGCAGCTCTTTGATGCTATCACGTAGCTTTTCCGCAAGTCTTTGCAAGTTCGCCCGGTGGTCCCTTTGCTTTTGCGGCTCTGAGGCCATGAGTGTAAGCTCTTCATCCGAGAACTCGCTCACAACTGTGGGAGAGAAGATGCCTGGGAGCTCCGAAAGGATATGTCGTTCGATCACCTGCCGACAAACGTTGTCAACGAATGTCTTTCTGGCCACCTAGATAGAATTTTAGCTCAGAATACCCAGAAATTTACCATCGTTTTACCTTATAATACGCCTCCAGGCCAACCTTAGCTTCATCACACGCCTGCGTGTCCATGTCCACCTCGATTCGTCGATCCAGGGAGTCAAAAAATTTCTGCCGGTCGGAAGATGTATTACTAATATGCAAGCTTCCTCCCCAATCCTGGGATATGGCGTTCCTCATGGCGGTCTGGATTGCTGCTCGCATAGAGTCCTGGCGCGATCGTTGAATGTTATCAGTGAAGTAATGATTGTACGTGCTAGGATGGCGCTTCTCGTCGTCAAGGAGCTTGGCCAATTCCTCTGTGGCATTCTTAGTGCACCGGTCCAGCTTGTCTACTAAATACTTTCGCACTTGAGTCCGCGTCTCCTGTTCGCTGATGATGCTTTCTAAGACCTTGTTGACAAAATTTGCAACAAGCTCGGCCACTTTTCCCACATGTTTGCGCGCGATGTTCTCCCAAGGGCTTGACTGTTCTCGGAAAAGCTCCGCAAGAAAAAGGTGGTTGTAGTTGCCGGGAAGCTCGCGGCCTCTAGTCCTCATATAAACCTGCCGTTATGAGTTTTGGTTGTATCGAACAGTTGAACGGTTCACTAACCTGCTTGATCCACGATTCGAAATCATTCTCCGGGAGGATGTCTTCTTCACACATAGCAATTTGGTCCTGCTCCTCCACGAAGCTATCTGTTGGCTTCTTCGTCGGCCTCCACTTTTGCCCATCTCGGCGCATGGTCTCTGAAAAGCTCCCGTTGAGAATATGGACCTGTGCCCTGAGGCGATGTGAAACATCTACATCATTTCCCCCGTCCGAAAGGCCAGATTCTAGTTCCAAATAGCTACCATCAAGCGCCGCGTGGGCCAGGTTGAAGAATTGCATGCTCAACCGTGTGAGGAACATGCGATGGTGACCAACCGTCGGCCTTTCCTCTCCCATGGCGTCCAGATCATTTTCCGTCAGAGCCAACAGAGCCGACGCTTCGCTTCGCACTTTCGGAAGCTCACTTTCAATGTGGTCATTGAGAAGCTGCTGGAGGAAGCTCGTGAGAGCGTCGATGCCGACGCGTTCTGGGTCCAGATTCTGCTCCGCCCAGGGACTGCTCGCGAAGAATGCCAGCTCCCTTCGTTTTCGCTCTTCGACCGAGCAATTGGCGTCAAGCTCTAGCGGACCTGGGTTTTTGAGTAGGAAAAAGCCGAGCTTTAGCTTGGTGGTGTCCTTGTTCTTGGCCAAAAGAGCGATTCTGCCTTCCGTCCCACGATTGACTAGGTCTGGCTTCGTAATGATTCCGACGGTACGCTGTCCATGAGGATCCAACTTGCGTGCCTTCTGGATGATTCTCTGGTTTGCGATGTCGTTGTTGGCCTGGACGACCGCCAGGATGATCGTACGGGAGCTCTTAACATAGTCGTCGACCAGTTCGGAGACAAGTTCTACGTCTTCGTCGGATTGCTCGTCGTTGGAGACAGAAATGAGCCCCGGCAGATCGACGACGGTCAGATGAAGTCCAGTGCGGCCAACCACCTCGATCCTCAAAGTGTCGGCGGAGAACGATGGCCCCTCCACAACTCCATCTGCACCCCGGAGACGCATCATTTTCTTGGCTTCCGCAATGACGTTTGGCAATTCCGAGAAATTTGCAAGTTCTTTGGAATAGGCCCGAAATTTCTCTATCTCTGCATGACTTCTTGATGCGTGAGGAATGATCGTAGCGCAGATCCGTTCCTCGGAGGAGTGGTGACGCAGGATTATCTCCGTGGCAAATCTCGTGCAAAGTCCATCCTGCCGGGGAAATGGAATGCCAGTTATACCTTGCAAGACGGAGCTTTTCCCTGAAGACTGATCGCCGCAGACAACGAGTTGAGGAAGCGAGATATGGTCTCCGATCCCGTTCGCACGGACTCGGTTAATCTGATCCAGCCGATGTGTGGCTTTCGTAGACTGAAGCTCATTTGCTGCTAGAAAAGCCGAGCGCTTAGTCTCCTGGCTTCTCACTGAATCTGAAGTCGTCATAGTGGGGGTAGCAAAAGATATCATTGACCAAAACCGACTTGATATTTAGAAAGTGGGAGATGTTGGCGGTCTGGCGTACCTGAGCTTTTATAAGTAAATTTCTGGGAATAGAAGCTGTTGAGTAATAAATGAGAATCGCACAGTTTCTTAAGCTGGCATTCTTAAATAGCAAAGAATTACCGAGCCCCCATTCCAAAGTTTCTACATTTCTCGCTGGTCGATAGCTACAGCTTTGTATTTTATCTATGATAGATTGAAATCAACGGTATACGCCTTTTTCGTGTAATGTTTCGCCCTAGTTGGGACAGATTGGGAGTGTTAACGTCACGAATTGACATTCTAAGCCAAAGATATGTGAACAGAACTGAGCGGAACTCTAGTTAGGTAATCTTGGTCGACATTTATTACAGGAGTAGTACATTCGAGTGTCGCTAGAATAATATTATCTATAGAAGGCAAAATAACGACCCCGTTGTGTTCTGGATAAGGCGTAACCGGATGGGTCTATGCCGCTGGTTGGTAGAGAGGGCGTTAAAAATTTGGGCTCATAGTACCGCAGCATGCGCAAAATGCTTCGATTGATAAATTACACTCCTTAATCCTACTAGTCACCTTGCTATTCCCTTATCTCTTACAAATTCTCTAACTGATAATTGACAGCGCCGTTCTTCGCAACATGTCTACCCTAAGTAAGCTCTCTGCTACCGCCATCTCCACTACTGTCATCATTATTCATTACTGGCTTGTCTTTACCGCCGGCCGCTATTTAAGAGCCGTGTCACAGCTCGATATTGCTAAACTTACCGGAGATATACACCTCTAATCAAAATAATCTCTCTATGTCAACTTTCTAGATGAATTAGATCCAGGTTGCAGTGCGACGCTATGTATGATATTTTAGGAAGATATCGCAATTTATTATGAGGACTCTCGTAACATCGTGCCGCGAATGTGCTCTACGTACTTACATTTCAAGTAAGTGTAAATTGCGACGTAAAACATCTTGTAGTGACTAAGTAAATTCTTTTATCTAGGCCAAACTCTATTTTGTACAGATTCTCCGCTTAGAAGATATGTATTCGGTAGTATCTATAAGCGTTTAGCTATTTATAGTGTTGATGCTGCAATAATTAAGGGTCCGAGATAATTGCCCGAGACACATATGGGTTGAGGGTAGAAAAGAATGCCTGATGAGTTGATGATTAACAACGTTATAATTTGGCTTCTTCTATCAGACAGTAAGCCATTCTTCGTCAGCCGCATTTTATTACATTTCATTTGGCTACCATTGATTTTTGTAATTAGCTCGAGTCTTTCTTTCGTGATTCGCCCTTGTCCATGACCAGACTATAGTACATTCTTGCTTAGACGAGCTTCGCGTCGACCACCCAAACGAGGAATTTGTCGCTCAGGTGGTCGACGCTTAGTAGCATTCGGCATAGCGCATTTTCATTGAGTGTCGCTAGTCGACATAGGCAGGCCTCACTATCCTCGCTTCTGTCTCAAACGTTCTGGATAGGCGATAGAGGCCACATCGTGTCAAAGTATGCGTTGCATACCAAGACAAAGCATGCACAAGTGCCGCTGTGATAGTTGGGACACAACTACGAGAAATGTTAGGTATGGGGGAGCAGAGCTGGTTGATCCCAGCGAAGATGCACGAGCTTCTAAAATCACTTGACTTATCAAAGCGGCGCTACATTCAAGTGCCTGGACAGTAGGTTCTTGTGCTCCAGCACATCCATGCAGCAAATACACCGTTATGCAAGGATCGCCTTTTCCTTTGCTGGTGAGTAGCAGCGCGTTCCAATAAAGTTTAAATACTGGTCCTAGCATAGCTTGAAATATATGTCGCTCCGTAAGGGGCGAGGTGTGGGCTCACAGTCTACAGAATGCTCCGACCAGCCAATGCAACCCTTTTCGCCACCTTGACGACCCGCTACCTGCATCTTACTAGTGCGGCCCTCATTGGCTAACTTTCTGTCCTTCAGCAGCCTGCAGCTGATTACTTAGTCCCTTGCTACCAGTCCCGACCCTGGCATGGAGCCTGGCCCTTGAGATGTTTGCACACCTACGACACCGGTTCTCTAGATCTCGAGTATCCATAGT